GTTGCTTTGGCGGCTGTTAATCTGTATCGACAAACTCACCTTGTTTACACAGACGGAGAATTGTGCGAGTCTTAATTAACTGGCAGGAACCAGACGGCAATTAAGGGGGTTATCCTCAGAAGACACACAGAGACACACACACACACGCTTTCTAAAACGCCTCCATTTCCCAATGGGTTTACTGGATCAAGGGATGAATTTGGTGCCCTCCCCCCCCCCATACTTCTATGGTCTCCACGTTGCACAGATATGGCCTCCGATGTTAAATTACTGCAGCCATATTGGGTTCCCAGCTCTGTGTTAGGAAATTCCTAGAGACTTGGGGGGGTAGAGGTTTTGGGGAGTGGAGGGGGTTCTGCGGGGTGTAATGCTGTACAGTTATGGTTGCCAACTCCAGATTCAGAAATACCTGGAAAGTTGAGGGTGGAACCTGGAAGAGAGGTTTATACCTTGGCAGGGTAGTTTGGTGTTGTAATGTATTCAGCCTGACATGCCCGGACTTCCCCGGGCTGGCCAGGCACAATCCATCTGTAGCTTCAGTCGAAAGACAATGGATCCGAAGGATCCTAGCCGGCCCAATTAAAGGGCTAGCTTCCCAGCCGGGAGACCAATGGTCGCCCGGTTACTGTAAATAGCCTATCGGGAGTAGGGGTGTGTGTTTAGGTGTACGTGGTGGCGGGTTTTCTGAATGCATATAAACCAGCCTGCGAGCTGGTCAGTTGTCTTTGTCCTGAACTAAATAAAGGTATGCTTAGCTGAAATTACTCTCCGCCTGCATACTTTTCAGGTGTCGTCAGGGCCGGCTCACCCACTAGGCAAACTAGGCATTCATCTAGAGCGCTGGGACCTGGATGGGGCGCCAAGCTGTGCCCCCCCTTGTCCCCCCCTTTGGTGGCGGGGGGCGGGGGGAGAGGCGGTGGTGGCGGCAGCAAAAGGGTGGCTGGCTCCAGAGGTCTCCGGGTCTCCAGGCCCCACCGGGAGGTTGGCATCTGCGCCACAAGGCAGCCTCGCCTAGGGCGCAGAAACACCTCGAGCCGGCCCTGGGTGTCGTGGTGAAGTGCGTGGACTCTAATCTGGGAGAACCGGGTTTGATTCCCCACGCCTCTACATGCAGCTCCTGGTGTGACTTTGGGTCAGTCACAAGTTCTGTCAGAGCTATTCTCTCAAGAGCAGTTCTCGAAAGAGCTCCCTCAGCCCCGCCTACCTCACAGGGTGTCTGTTGTGGGGAGGGGAAGGGGAAGGAGTTTGTAAGCCGCTCTGAGACTCCTTTGGGTAGTGAAGGGCGGGGTATAAATCTTCTCGTCTTCTTCGAATGCCAGGCAGTCCCCCTTCCAAAGCAGGCGTTTTCTCCAGAAGGGGAATAAATGTTTTAAATAAGTCAGTCATTTATGTAGTCTGGGGGATCAGTTGTAATTCTGGGAGGGCTCCAGCCGCCATCTGGAGGTTGGTGACCCTGCGATACAGCCCCCCCCCCTGCAAAGCAGCCGTTTCCTCCAGGGGAGGGGATCTCCGTTGCCTGCAGATCAGTTGGGGGTTCGCAGCCCCGGCCACCGGGCCTAGGGAGGGCTGCCGCCCTAGGAAAAGAATTCAGGAGGGCCACCTGGCAGCCCCGAAGGAATGGCGACCTGCCGAGTCCCTCATATTTCACTGGTGCTGAAAGATCCTCCTCTGCCTTCCAGGTTATTTCTGGTTGCGATTCAAAGTGCAGGTCTTGGCCAGAGAAGCCCGGGGGGACGGCAATGCATCCTCCTGTCTCTTAGGCCCCCAGAGACACCCTGTGTGGGGCACCCTGCCTGAAGCAGCTTGAATCCCCTCCACGAAGAAGAAGAAGAAGAAGAAGAAGAAGAAGAAGAAGAAGAAGAAGAAGAAGAGAAAAAAAAGAAGAAGAAGAAGTAGAAGAAGAAGAAGAAGAAGAAGAAGAAGAAGAAGAAGAAGAAGAAGAAGGAGGAGGAGGAGCAGGAGGAGGAGGAGGAGGAGGAGGAGGAAAAGGAGAAGGAGAAGGAGAAGAGGAGGAGGAGGAGAAGAAGAAGAAGAAGGAGAAGAAGAAGAAGGAGGAGGAGGAGGAGGAGATTGGATTTATACCCCGCCCTTCACTCGGAGTCTCAGAGCGGCTTACAGACGCCTTTCCCTTCCCCTCCCCACAACAGACACCCTGTGAGGGAGGTGGGGCTGAGAGAGCTCTGAGACAACTATCCTTTCAAGGACAGCTCTTGTCGGAACTGTGGCTTGCCCAAGGTCACCCAGCAGCTGCAAGGGGAGGCGTGGGGAATCAAACCTGGCTCTCCCAGATTAGAGTCCGCGCACCGACAAGTTACAGCCAACTTCAGATGACTCGGTCGGGTTTTCAAGGAGAGACGAACAGGGGCGGTTTGCCATCGCCTGCCTCTGCAAAGCGGTTTGGGGGAAGTTAGGCCCGGTGCCATCGACGGGGCGGGCAGACTGGGATGTTAAAACGGACCCGGAGCTCAGACCGGGGCCCGGTAGCAGTGGCACAGAGGGTAGGCTTGCCGGTGGCCGAGCTGTGTCCGCTGCTGTTGCTGCAGCCCCCGGAAGTCCCCGAAGCGCAAGGGCCTCCTGGCTAGGCTTGCCAGGCTCCAGGTGGCGGCTGGAGATCTTCCGGGATCTCAGCTGATCTCCAGGTGACATGAGAGATCAGTTCCCCTGGGCAAAATGGCTGCTTCGGAAGCCGGAGTCGATGGCGGCGTGCCTTGCTGACGCCCTTCCCCTTCCAAAACCCGTCCTTCTGCAGCTCCGCCCACAAAATCTCCAGGAATTCACACCCTGGAGTTGGCGACCCTACCCAGCTCCACTCGCCTCTAGCTGTATTCTGCCCTGGCTGCCCGTTGCAGTTAAATTATCCGGGGGGGGGGCACCTAATCCCCAATATCCCATGCAGTTTGACCCGCTGTCTGCTTTTATTTTTTATTTACTTCTATAGTCTGAAGGAGCTGCGGTGGCTCAAGGGGTTAAGACGCTGAACTGCAGGCTGTGGAAGGTCGGTAGTTCAGCAGTTCGAGACCCGGGTGCCGCATTGACGGAGTGAGTTCCCGTCTCTGGCCCCAGCTCCTGCCAACCTAGCAGTTCGAAAGCAAGAAATTGCAAGTAGATAATAGGTACCACTTCGGTGGGAAGGTAACAGCGTTCCGTGCGCCTTGGTGTTTAGTCATGCCGGCCACATGACCACGGAAACGTCTTCGAACAGCGCTGGCTCTTCGGCTTTGAAACGGAGATGAGCACCGCAACCCTAGAGTCAGATTCGACTGGGTTTCGAACAAGGGAACCTTTACCTATAGTCTTAATTCTGTAATTCCCGTGTGTGTGTGTGTGTGTGTGTGTGTGTGTGTGTGTAGGCCAAAACCCATTTCATAAATCAAACATAGCCCCACCCCTGCAACCAGGGTTTAAAATACCATGGGTTATTTTCCAGGCTGATTAGGAAAAACACAAAGAAGGTAAGCATTGGGTTGCTCCTAACAGAACACTGAACTGTAGCAAGAGGCTGACACCTTTCAATACAACGGGATCACTCCTGAGGAAGACTGGGATGAAAGGAGTTTCTATCCGGATGCTCATTGAGAACGATGGGCCTGTAATATTAGGTAAAGGTTTCCCTTGCTCGAAAGCCAGTCGAATCCGACTCTAGGGGTGCGGCGCTCATCTCCGTTTCCAAGCCGAAGAGCCAGCGCTGTCCGAAGACGTTTCCGTGGTCACGTGGCCGGCATGACTAGACGCTGAGGCACACAGAACGCTGTTCCCTTCCCCACCGATGCGGTACCTATTTATCTACTTGCAATGTCTTGCTTTCGAACTGCTAGCTTGGCAGGAGCTGGGGCCAGAGACGGGAGCCTCACTCCGTCAGGCGGCACACTCGGGTCTCGAACTAAATGCTTTTGTCATGTGTATCACAGTGGTTGCTCGTCTGTTGCATTTCCTGTACAGGTGCCTGTGATTCCCTTCGTGGTTTTTACCCCCGTGGGGGTTGGCAACCGTGCACCCCCAAGAAAATACACATGTGTTGATGTGTGGAAAGTCAGTGGGGGTGAGGCCTAGCCGCCATCCGTGGGTCGTCGGAGCCAACGGAACCTCTGCAGCTGTTTGCACTGTTCCTACTGTGCCCTGCGGGAGGGGGGGGGCTGTAAGAGGTTAAAAGAGAGTGCATGGGGGATTTGGGAGGAGGGGGCTGGGAGACATTCTCAGCTTCCATGAAATGTGCCCCGTGCCCCTCCTCCTTCTCCCCTGGGACCCCTCTTCCTCCCCCCCCCC